ATGGCAGAGATAGAGAAAGAAGTTAGTTGGTATTTTAGTCTACAAGGATCTAAATAAAATAAATTACAATTAATAAAACATTCTACGATTGTCAAGATGTCACAAAATTCTATAAAATATTTTATTACCGATGCTTACCTTTCACGTTGAAAATATTAATGACAATATTAATACGCATTTATGAGTAATACTAAGATAGTTGCTCGAGTAAAAGCTGAAATTTTGAATTTAAACTCGCACAATTAATTGTGCAACTTTATTTTGAATTATTAAATAGTGATATAGTGGAGTAGCAGTAGATAAGAATATATTGGAACCCATCTATTGTATGGCTGATTAAAAGTAAAAATAAAGCGACGTTGTATGAAGCATTCATAAATGAAGTTTTAACATAAAAATAAAATATCAAACTATATAGATAATTAGAAAGCACTTCATATTAAGTAGAATTGCAAATTTTATTGTTTTACAATAAAAGTACACTAGATTTAGAAATAATAAATAAAGTATATATTGAGTACATGCATGAATGAACGCAAATTTCCACTAATATATAACATAAAATTTATACAATAACCAACATTCGATATGTTCATACAACAAAAGCAATATAATAAATATTTCCACAGGTTGTAAGTGAGCATAGTTATCAATTAGAATATCGTTGCCCTAAAAGTTATTAGTTACAATTGTAAATTATAAATACTTATTAGATAGATAGTTGGGATATGAATAATTGATACAACTTATATTTAAAAAATGAAATATAATTATTAATAATCACATACAGATTAACACTTATTTATAAAAGGTAAAATTTATTATACAATACAAAAAAATTTTTTACAATAAATTTATTGAAACTTGTTGATTGAATGGAATATAAGTATTCTTTATTATTAAATTATTTTAAAATCTTACAAATCGAATGCACGTGCATTTTATTCTATATTCACGTTACATGTTTTCATAAGTTATATTATTTAATTGAATAAATAATGGATTATTTGTAAAATTTAAATTGTATTACATAATCACCAGTATTTTATTTTTATTAGGAATACATATTTATTTATCATTTGAATACAAACATAATTTAGCAACGTTAAAATTATTATGCTAAATTTTCGGTGTTAAAAAATGCTGAATTTTACGAAATATATTTATAGCTAAACAAACTATAAAGTGCTTAACCAAGAACTTTTTTTCAAATTTTATTCGCTATGGCTATTATTTGAGTGCTATATAAAAAATATCTTTAAAATATAACATTTTTTAAGAAATATATATGTAATTATTGAATATGATATTTTTGTCTACAGATCTATAATTATTAGTAGTTAATATGATAATATCTATTGTTAGATTTACATAATAATTGTATAAATTATGTAAGAATAAAACTTTAAACTAAAATGTAAAAAGTGTGAAATTGAGTAATGTCTGTATTCTATTATTTTCAGTAATGTTATTTCATTGTTAAATACTTTATTAGTACATGTTGAACATTATTATATGCGTTTAATTCTTTAAATTTACATTTAAATGTCTTGAAATTTGCTCTATTTCAATGGAAATTGTGTAGTTTAAATCTTGCATAGCATGCTTACAATATTTATAATATATATTGATTGCAATCTCACTATTTACTTCTACATGTACCTTTTTAATTTAAAATGTGAAGCAGTACATACTTATATTTAATTTTGATTTTGCATTTTGCTTCTATAAAATTTCTATATAATACGAGTCGCAGTAATCAATAACGATTTAAAAAAAATTTTTATATCTAAAGATACAATATTTTTTTTCTTTTTTTTTTTTAACCATGTTCACATTTTTTCAGTAATTTATATTTATGCTTAAAATTACTATTATTGCTAATACTTAGATAATTTAAAATATTTTTAAAATGAGACATTTGAATCTGAAACTTGATATAAAAGAAGAAATGCCATTGGAAAATGGAGTTATGAAATATAATATTATAATATGAATTAAGATGAATACATAACTGAATGATTATTTCTGTAAAATAATATTTTTTGTTACATTATCTACGTTTATTTGCGCATAACGGAATAGATAAAATTATTAATTATCAAGTATCATAATCTTGTATAACATACTACACTCGGCTATTTGAGAGTTATTGGGAAAGTTGTAAATCTAATATAAAACGATTCATTAATCAAATACTTTATACACTGCGATACTTGAATTTATTCATTTTATATGTTTATTTATGCTTTCTAACAAAAGTTGCCAACCATTTTTTATAATAACAATTTTCTCATAGAATATCGTCATTGCAATTTATGATGATAGAATTAGTAATAAACATTATTTAACGAAAAATAAAAATTTGTTTATTTCCCATTTATATTATTATTAAGCAAGTTTATTAAATTTTGTATATGTATTTAGTCAACAATGCAATATATCACCAGCACATAAATTTTATATACAACAGCAATTTTTTAATAAAGAAAATATTTTATTTTTTTGTTATGAGGTATAATGAGATATATTCATTATTTAAAAAATGTTTATAAAATAGCGAAATAACAATTTGTTTCTTATTTAAAGTAGAGTAAAAATATATAAATTGAATAATCATGAAATAAAATATTTTTATAATTCGTGCGAAGAACTTTATTAGAACTATAAATTTAGAAAATACGCTGCATTGCAGTTTACAAATATGAATTTAAGTAATAGAATAAATTATTCTACAATATTTGAGGAAAACTTTAGATCTTGTTAATTAAACATTTTGACAACTGATTTCTTTCTTTTTATTAGTTTACTGATTTATTGAATTTTCATAGGACACCAGAAAACTACATATTGTGTTGTCTATGCTTAAATACACATGACTAGGGTAAGTAAAATATTATAAATGCCCATATACGAATTTGGGCAAGATCATAAGTTTTTTTTTTTTTTTTTAATCTTGAGAAGTTTATTATAAAATATTAGCTCAGCTCTTTCCATCGATAATTGAGTATCGGATATTCTGGGCCTACATGATCTTACAATACTGACAACTTGGAAGGAACAATTGCTGCATGTTTTAATTATTCACGGTGATTTTCTGTTGCAGTAACTCGATAAATTTTCTTAATTTTCTTAATTTTTTTTTTTTTTGTGATATATGATTATAATTAGGTCATCTATAATTTTGTCGATACTCTATGTTTCTGGTGAGATTTATTTGAAAGTGGATACATTCTGTCTAGTTTTACTTTTGCTCATTTTTTCTCATTTTTCCAATACTGCCAGTTATAATGCTTAGAATAATATCTCTCTGTGTGAAAAATTAACAGGACGAGTCTATTTTTATAAAAGTGGTAGCTATATTTATGGCAAATAATTTACATCTTTAAGATATTAAACGTGCAAATACGCCATTAAACTATTAAATATGTAATTACAAATATTTTAAAAGCAATTTTAACCGTTAGTATAAGCACATATTTGAACTTAAATAAAAAAAACGAGTATTAAAGTACAACGATGATTCTCAATAATATATTCATGTATCAAAGTATTATATATACCATATTTTTCATTTTCTTCTTGAATAATAGTAGACAGCTAATTTGGAATTATTATATGATAATGAACATTAGTCAATGATAACTGATTATTGTACGCAAAATTAAACAAAAATTTCAAACGTCATTTGCACTGGCACTTTAGTTCTGTAATGAACTGGCTATTTCAGCACATGATTTCATCATTTTAATTATATTTATAACTCAGTATGTGGTGGTTCACTTTTTCAGATATACGAATTGGATAGGCTGTCGCCCATAGTAATGCGCTAAACGCGTTACTCTCACCTGTCATCTTCTTTGGGACGTCTCAATTCACTATCTAATGCGTGATCTTTTATAATAATTCCCATAAGGTCCAGTAACTAATTGAATTTTTCCTTTGCTAAAATTTACTCTATCTTCCCTTGAAACTTTTTCTATTCTTTGAACAGTAGGGTGTTATCTTGATGATTTTCATATGAAGTATAACATCATTAATAGTGACAGACGATGATGTATTATATTTGTTATAATATTTCATGCTTCTTTCGATCCTTCAGTTTTAATAGTAAAGAACTAGAGGACAGTAGCTTATTTTTATTATCTATTCAATCGATGTAAAGTAGATGCCTGCCACGATCATGTTGATTTTAATCTCAGATATTTATTTTGAAATAATTGATTTATAATTATTATTCTTTGCTATCAACATAAACAACTTTATTAACCGTTGTACTTAATATAAAAGTCTACCTTGCACTTTCGAATCTTGTTAAAAAACAATAGTTATTATGCTATAATTGAAAATACAGAAATTTTATTCGCATATGCGTGTATGATTTCTATTTTTGTTGACGTTTATTGGCTGATGGAATATTTTATTAATGCGAAGGAGTTTCGCACTTGGTAGATATGGAAATGCGAGGCAAAAGCAATTATGATTTATTCGGATCAAATTAAATTACAATTTGCAGTAGTAAAGCAAATCGATGCTATTAAAATGAATTTATAATAAATATTAAATTTGTTATTTGATAAATCTATATCATTATTTATTAAGCGATAAGTTCACTGAAGTATATATTTATGCTTAACATTCCGCATATTTCTCAATAGAGTTAATCGTTTCGATCGGTTAGCGCATACTTTATATCTGTATCTTGCATACTATTAATTTGCTTATCACTAATTTCCGAGAATTCTAAATTCTAGTAAGTATAACTAAGTAGAGTGTATGCATAAAATAATAGAGTAAAACTTACTTAAATTAAATTAAGCACAAATTGAAAATAAAATAAACAAAAGATAAAATTAACCAAAGTATAAATGATTTTTATTTTGTAAATATAATCAAGGTATCATAAAAAATATATGATTAGTATAGAACAACAATATTTTTATTAATGTTCAAAATTGTTATTGTTCAAAACTATATTGCATAATAAATCGTTACTTAAATAAATCACCTATTAACTAATATTTCACAATGTAATGTATTTTGAAGCACACAAGATGCAAGTATGAAAAAAGAAGCTAATTAAGCATAATTGTATATAATTGATCAAAAGCACTGACTATGGGAAACATCATTCTTTTTATATGATTGATAAATACCCAAAAGTAATTACACAAAAGACATGTATCGAATAGTACTTGCCGATATTACAAAACTGCTCAGCGTAGCAAAAGGAACGTTTTTCCCCCGTCATATAAAAAGGAAAAATCTATCGAACCATAACAATAGTCGTCAATAAAAGTATTGCCTTACACGTCATAGGTGTGCATATTAAAGAAATAAAATAAAATAAACGTAATAAAAAATATATGTTTCGAGATGTAGTCGTCGATCGACTATATAAAAATACATTCGGTACATATAAAAAAATATGTAAAAATAAATGATCCGTGTAGCATTTTGACGCGAAGCCGATCAGTTTTATCTATCAACGTTCCTTAATCTATAATATTACCACCGCCCTGTGAAAGTCTTGTATTATCGCGCGACCTACGCAATAAGAAAGAAATTCGGTCGGTCGTTCCTCCATCATTGTCAGTGCTTCGGATAATTTTTCAACGGCTTGGCAGTTAGGTTCTCTTCGAACACGTCCGCCGTGAAGTCCTGATCCTTGACTCGCTTCGCCGACTTCATACTCTTCGGTTGCATTCTCATGGGTGGGCCGGGCGGGGGCGGCATCGACGGTCCGGGACGGTGGGTCGGCGGCCCGAGACGCTGGCTCAACCTTAGGCTTATTCCGGAAACTCGTGGTGGGGGCCCCGGTGGGCCCATCACTGGGGTCAATCTCGGCCGAACGGGCATACACACGCCGGCGGGCCCGTGTAGGAGAGGTAGCGGTGGCCCGTGTCGCATCGACGAGGGCGAGGGTAAGGGCCCGAAAGCGCCGCGCGGAGGTACCAAAGGCCTGTAGATTGGTCTGCGAAGCAAAGGGGGTGCCCTAATTGTGGGTGGTAGGGGCCGGTTCCGGTAGAAGTACGAAGTCCTTGGAAGTCTGTCGTTGGGGAAGCTGCGCAGCAACGATATGGAACTTTGGCGGCTAGTTGGCAGGAAGGAGCGCGGGGAGGTATAGTGCTTCTGCACGTATTTCTTCTGTTTCCCTAACTTCAGTGGCACGTTTAATTTCACTTTGCGAATGTCTAGCTTCGATCCCACTGGCAAGTTTATCAGTTTATTAATATACACGGTGCGCTCGATCATGTAGCCCCGAGCTTCCTTAAAACCTGAAACAATTTTAGCCGACTCTTTCGTTTGTCCTATTCGTCTTTATCCAAAAGACATTTGCGTGCAGTTCACATTCAGTTTGTAAAAGTTAATGAGATTAGGAGAGGAAGCTCATCAATAAGCAACGTTCATATCAATACCTTATACGACAGTCTACGATATTCCAAATGAAAATGAACTTATATAGATGTAGAAATTATTATTTAATTGAAACATTTAATTGTGTTAAATAAATTAAAAAATACACACACACACGCACACGAACACGCACACACGCACACACGCCCTATCGAAATCTATAAAATGCAGTACACAAATAATAATATATATATATATATATATATATGTATAAGGACAGAATAGAGAAAATAGAAAACGTGGTAATTTCTCACCGATAAGAATGTTATTATTTTTTTTTTCAATTAATGCCTATTAAGCAAAAAAACCTGTCTCGTTGATTCTACTATATAAGCTAATTATATTTAAATTACGTAACTTCGTAAAATAATACATTCTTAACAATTCAACATATGCATATTTAAATTAAATATCACGTGAAATTAAAAATCATAATATATATATATATATATATATATATATATATATATTTTGTTTATGAAGAATATATAAAAAAAAAAAAAAATATTTATC